TGGAACATGCCACAGTGATCCTTGCACTTTGCAGGATGCTCAATGGGCCTTGCAGTTGGCGCTGTATGAGGCTGATTGCAATGCCTTACAGCGCAAAGCAAGTCAAGATGGTCTAGCTCGCCAGGCATCCATCCATCCATCCGCCACAAAGCCGTTGAAGTGCTGAACTTAGAGGTGTCGTGCAAAGATGCAGCGTTGGACGAAAAACATCTCCAGGCTTTTGAGTTTTGAGGCTTCTTTCTTTCCCAAAGACGATCTTCCTCAGCGAGATCCCAAAAGGGACGACAGCCAAGGCATGATAGGGAAAGCCAGTCTTTCCTTCAGGCAATTTGCAACACGCAGGAGCTTCAAGCATTCTTTGCTCATGGCACATGCGCAGAGGCCGGCAACCTTGAAATCTGTGCCAGCGTGAATGGCTTGTGGAAGTGCCAAAGAGCATCTCTTGATGGAAGGTCAACTTTCATCTGCAGTCCGAGACTTCGAACTGGTTGGGCACTGCCACTGTGACTTTCGGATCACAGGCTGTGAGTGATCACCTGCCATATGGGTTCTGTAATCACTGTGTGTGTGTGTGTGCAGGGAGAGCGAGACAAAGCATTCACCGACCTGCCCCGCTTCGTACCCTGCTTAGTACATCCATTTACGCAAAGATTCCGCATCATGTTTTTGGGCTGTGTATTTTCCAGCTCCTGGCTGTTTGGCCGCGTCCGTCAGGCAATGACTCATTGTATTTTTACTTTCCATTTACCTCCTTAGAAGGTATTCAGGGAGCTTGCTTTTGGTTGGCACACCTCAGGTCCGAGTGTACGTTGGGCCGCTTCGAGATTGGGCTGGCAGGATGAAGACTCAATTTTCAAATTTTGCATCAGCCCTCTGTGCTGGAAGGACGGACACGGCCAAAATGCAGGCCCAGCTGAAAGAGCATTTCTTGAAATTTGGCCCATGCCCTAGATGCCCAATCGCTTTAAAATTTCAGCGGAGGCATGGCCAGTCTCTTCCTTTGACCGCAGGCAGAGTTCGGAGTTGCCGAGTGATGTGCCCCAGAGCGTTTCCTGGGCAGTGCGCAGCTGAGCCTCCTGCTGGGACATTGGTTCCTTGCTGACATGTATGTATGTATGCCTACAACTGTATGTATTCAGATTCATTAGAAAATATAAATGCAATATGCATGTAATGTAACATAAATGTAACGTAACGAAGCGAAGCGCAATTTAATGTAATGCATAACACAATGCAATGTAATGTAATGTAGTGTATGTAATGTAAGTTATGTAATGTTGTAATGTATGTACTGTATGCAAGGTAAGTAAATTAAAGTAATCTAAGTATGCACGTACATAAGGCGTGTATGTATGTAAGTCATGCATGTATGCATGTAATGTAATGTCATGTGCTCAACATAATGCAATGCAGTGTAATGTAATGTGTGTAGAATATCGGCTTGTATATATGTATTTTATGTGTGTATGTAATTTAAAATATTGTAATGTAATGTAATGTAACGACATGTGGGTATGGGTCAAAATTAAAGCACCAGGGGACCGCAGGTTTTGGTCCATGTTTCCATTTACCAGGATTCCATTTTGGGTACATATTTGACCCACAGCCATGTATGTTAAGGAAACGTATGGGAATGTAACGTACGGTAATGTAATGCAATGCAATGCAATGCAATGCAATGTAGTGTAGTATAGTGTAGTGTAGTGCAGTGTAATGCAACGCAATACCATGCAATGCAATGCATGTATGTATGGTATGGTATGGTATGTTTTGGCCTGTATGTATGTAGGTATGTGTGTAAGTATAAAAGTATTCTCAAGTTGGCCATACTTGTATGGTTAAACTAGCATGTCATTGGGCTAAGTACTGTTTGCAGGCTGCCTTATTCTCACGGGGACTTGACTTGGACGGTTTTTCCTCTTCCTAGTTTGGTCCTAGTGCTAGCTTAGAGATCCTTGGGCCTAGTCTACTGAAATAAGACACTATGAAGGAGCTTGTCGAGGATATTATACTGGAAACTCGGTGGTTATGAGAACTAGAGGCAACATCGTCTAGTCCTAGTTTGGTCCTACTTAGTAGTTTAGGGATCCTTTCTACAAGAAGAGTTGAATGGTCTAGTCCTAGATTCCTGGTAGTTGAGAGATCTCTGGCTCTTTGGTGCCAGTGTACCGAAGTAATTAGATCGTATGAAGGCCATTGGAGACATTCAACTTGAGTTTCAATTGCTATAAGCATTGGAATCAATTTGTCTTGTCCTAGTTCGGTCCGAGTGCTGGTTGAGAGATCCTTAGCTCTTGTCCTATTTGGTCCCAGTGCTGGTTGAGACATCTTTCATTCTAGTTCCAGAGAAAGAAAGGTAGGTTCATACACGCACATGTGCACAATATATAGTTGTTTGGAGTGCTGTACGATGGGCTCTTATTGTGCTGCACATGTTCGCCTGTGTCCTGTGCTCGTTTGCACGATTGCCGATCATAACAGTCATGACATTGAATGGTGAACATGTGCTGTTGGCAATATGTTAAGCAGATGTGCTGAACATCCCCGTAATTATTTGCATGGGGCCAACATGATGCTGTGAGAAGGTGCCTACTTGGAGCAAGTCTGGAAGCATTGATGGGTAACAGCCGTTGGGGAAGATCCGAAGGTCTGCACTCCCGTTTGGCCTGCTGGAATGCCATCCAACTGCTGCGCGGGTTGTCCTCACAAATCGCCAGGCCCTTTGCCAATTGGAGCATTCGGCATGGGTTTGCTCGATTTGCCGATACTTTTGGCACGCTCGATTTTCAGGGCAGTGCACCGCACGTTGCATGCCGCAGCCCAGGGGCTCAGAGGCTTAGGATGTTTCTCTAGAGTTTTAGAATGCCATGGGCAGGCGCCTCAGTTCTCGCGAGAGTTTGCACCTGTGTTTGCACACTCTGAAGGGACTTCTCCTTGCACTTCTAGCTGAGTGTGTGGCAGAGGACGATTCCTCACCGAAGTGCTTGCATCCTCGCCAGATTCTATTGATAGTCTCAGCTGTGGATGGCGAGGAATATGGTGCTTCCGAGATGTTTGTGAGAGACCTTCTGGGTAAGAGCCAGGCTGGACCATGCTGGTGAGAGCTGTCGGAACTGCTTCTGCATGTGACACACAGCCTGGTCGTCCTGACATGCAAGGCAGATGTCGACAGAGAGCGCGAACTGGAGGCGACATTTGCAAACTTTGACCACGACAGGCGCGGATGTGCTAGCTGAGTTTGACGGCGACAGACCCTTTGATGCTCTTGAGACAATTCAATTGTACGCGGCACAACTCAAAACACAAGTGAGCTGACATTGCCAGTGCTTGCGGGCATGACATGGTTTCAGGGATGGAGCACTGAACAGATCAGAGCCGGTTGCCTAGTTGGGTTAACGTGGCATGACACGTGTAAAGAGTGCACAGCACGCACTCACTGATGGAGCGGTGGCAGAGTTGCGGAATTGCAGACCTGCACTTCTTGAGGTCGTGGGCTTGGTATCGCTTTCTTGATGAAGATGGAGAGGACTCACCTGCCAATGCAGCACGAGCTTGTCAGATATCGCTCACATGATCCAAACTCAATGTCATTTTGGTGCTAGGATGCAGAAGTCACAGACCAGCACCGTGCAGCCTTCCTGGAGTTTGACCAAGACAATGATGACAGATTCTCACGTGCCGAAGTGCACGAGCTGCTGCAGTGCATGGACAAGGCGTGCCGGGTCAAACTCGATGCATTCAATTTCAACCATGTTTGCTTTCTTAGCCTTACAGGACCCTTACAGTAGCCGTACATCAGCCTTACAACAGCCTTACCTTAGCCTAATACATTTCACACTTTGCTCGAGGTTGAAGCGATGAAGGAAGCTGCAGACAGGGAAGAGGAAGGTGCTGATGAAGATTCGGAAGGGGAAGATCAGGATGATGAGGAAGATGAAGAAGGTGCAGACGAAGATGAAGAAGACGAGGAAGATGGGGAAGATGGGGATGAGGAGGCTGAAGAGGATCAAGATGGACCGTGATAGCATGAACGACAAGCAGTGCAAGCTTGATTCGGTCAGACGGTCAGAAGCCATCTTGCCAAGGTTGCAACGCTAGCATGTGTAATCGGCCACAAGCAGTGACAAGCGCGTGCGCCTGGCTGGCTTCGTATCTTTGGCGCAGGTTTGGTGCTAAACCAATATGTGTCATTTAAGGCACTGATCAGTGTGTTGAACTCAGGTATGGCTTGAACATAATATGTGTTTGCAGCTGCACCCCTTCATTTCAGCGATCCTGTTTTGCTGAGGAGCCAAATAGCCAAACCTTGTCGCTGGATCCCAATGTACATTCGGTTTCACCCGTAGTCAGGCCAGCACAAGCAAAAGCGACTGGCCACAGCTGCCGTTGAGTACAAGTCCAAATCGGATGCAGCATTGTCTATTTACCGTTCACGTTCCGCAGGCACAATCCTTTCCTGGACATCGGTCTCTCTTCAAAGTCAGCCTGGCAGAAGCAGAAGCCAATGAGACGCGCTGCCCACTTCTCAGCAATCTACAGAGAAATGCGCTTGTCTGAATGTAGCTTGAGAATGGCACAATGAGCTGTCAAGACCGGCTCTCTCTTGTAAAGCTGGTGTTGGAGCATTGCTTGTTTTGGCCCCACTGCCACCCAGGTGCTGTACCATTGTCGAAGAACGGATCCTTCCTGGCCCGCTTAGGGTGAATCTGAGCATGGGTTCAGTAGAGAAATCCGCATTTGCGTTGCACTCTTTGCCCTGCAGGTGTGTGTGTGTGCTGTTGGGTGCAAGTGTTATAGCATTTCTTCAGGTGTACATTTGTTGCAACGTAGCAGACGAGCTTCTTTGGCAGCAGTCTTCAAGGGTCGATTGTAGCACAGAGATCTCGCAGCCGATCTAAAAAAGCCTTGGGCACTGCGCAGTCTTGTCGCTATCGGAGAGTGTTGCTAGGTTTCAGTTGTATGCCTTCCTGTGGTGTTCAAACATGGGATAGCCGTGGCAGGAATCCTGCAATGTATGGAGCAGGAGACAAACGATGAGTTGCGAACAGTCGCGCTGGAAGTGCTGCTGACATTGATGATTGGAGGGTGCGCATGACATGAGCAAAGCCGGGCATGAAGGCACTCTGACGGAAGGTCTACACGGACTCGATGCCCACCAACTCTCGTGCTGGAGGCAGACTGAGCCAGCTTTGAGGCCAAAGGCTCGTAAATTCCTCGCAGCTCGTGATTGAAATGCTTCACAATACAGCACCAGCGGGGTTGCGAGGGTGCAGGCTCAAGGCTCATGGAGGTTCATGGAGGCTCATGGAGGCTCATGGAGGCTCACGCAGGCTCATGGGGCCCCAGCTTGGACTTTTCGGCCAGAGCGAGCCTTGCAGGCCGGCGCTGTTGGTGTGCTGAGCTAAGGCCTTAAATTGCCAGCATCGCCATTGACGCCTTGAGTTTGTGATCTAAGGCCAGATCGCAGATCAGGAGGATATAACGGCTCTTGAGGCTCGCTTCCAGCACTTGTCGTTGGCTCTTCTCATGACTGGCAGATCCTTTTAGAACTGGCACGCATGGCTCCGGACTTCATGCTGCCAGACATCATAGAGCAAGGCCAGCTTAGGCGCGTATTCTGTTTCTCTTCCTGCAGCATGGACAGGTGCTGCGAACTCATGCCTTAAAGTCCTGGACAACTCTGTCTGCATCTCAAACTTTGACTCATTTCGACTTAAGCTGATATTTGTGCAGACAAATGCATGAGGGCGCTGCGCCGATGGACCAGCTGACAGCGTGCCAGCCTCGACTTCTTTTCTCACTTCATCCGTTGCAGTGCTGCTTCGCCTGACGCCCCAGACTGAACCTTCTCTTTTCGCTGACCAAGCGAGCTCCAGCACCTATCGCAGCCAGTGGTGCCTATGACATTGTCAAGGCTGCTGGTCGCCGGAGTCTTTCTCTTTGTCGTTCTTTGTCCCGCATTTCGCCCAGGGAGTGACAAACGTTGCTCTTATACCAAGACGCAACAAGATCATGAGCTCGGCGCTCTGAGCTTGCAGTGGTCTTGGCAGACCTTTTCCCTGACCCTTTTGCCAAGATTATTTGCGACCACTGGTGGAGCACGAGGGTGACACACCTGCTCTCACCAACATCAGGAGAGTACTTCGAATGGCACAGCATTAGGACAGTGGGATAAGCTTGAAAAGAACCTTGAGTGGAAGAGCAGGACTGCTGGGCGCAAAGTTGGAAAGCCGGCGTGACTCAAGCGACTCGTAGAACTCGAGGCATGAGCTGTGCAGCTCTACGAGAAAACAATGTACGATTGTGCAAGATAAATCACGTATCACGGTGCATCAGATTGTGTCACTGTGTGGGCTTGAGTCAAGTTCTGTGAGCTGTCAAGTTCAATCCAGGCATCTTTTTGACTTCAACAGGAGCACTCTTCTGCAAACAGATCGGATAGCAACTTGTTAACCGGCTCCGGCATGTGTTTCTTCATGTGTATACATATGTATATGTATGTATATATATATATTGACACGTCTGCCTTACGGCTTCTGAACCCTATTGCAAAACAGCTTAGCAGTGTTTTGGGCAATGCAGCTCTAGCAGCCCGCACATTCCATTCTCAGAATTGTCTCGGCATGGGCGGCATACGCACTTGCGGCTTGCCGCGGGAGCGTCCGCGACGCAAAGTGAGTGATGACAGCAGTGAGTCCGCCGGAGGGAAGTATGCAGCACCTCGGCTTGTGAGTCCCGTCTGTCGGGTTGCTCTTTCTGAGCCAACAATGTTCATTCGTCAAAGGTCCTTCTTCAGCTTGATGCGGACCGCGCAGCAGCAGCTATCCAAAGACTTGGCACATCGCCAACTTCACGATCTCTGCGCGACGCGCATTCAGGCCTTTGGCATGAATTGGCGGAGTTTGTGCAGCATCTAGCAAAGGCTTTGGCAGCCTGTATGATTGCCGTCAATGCAGACACCTAGCTGGTGACTGAGGCACTCTGGCGGCGTGCTGCCGCCCGAGTGCGCATTGCCAAAGAGGCAATTGGTGCCTGAACTTGTAAGCAATTGCCTGCAGCCTGCCAGGTCGCATGCAGGTATCGGGAGCAGGTGCTGAGCAGGTGCTGCGCAAATCTAACACCACGCCAGCAAGCGAAGGCTTGGAAACTGCAAGTTGTCAGCACGATCTACAGACTTGAAAATGAGGCTTTCGTGGCAGCTCGCAATCACCAGATCAAATGCTTGCGCACAGAGGTGGCCAAATTCAGGTGGGGTCTGACACTCCATCGTTCAACAGAACACGGGCCAGCTTATGGCCGGCTTGTGCGCTCTTTGCGTAATGTGCGTTGTGCCAGTGGCATCGCCTTCTATCTTCACAGAAGGCAGCGTGAAGCACAGATCCAGGAGCAGTTCTCTTCCCCTCCTATCAACTGTTTAGAAGATGGCGAGGAACACTTGGACAACGAGAAGCATCGCTTGCGGGCCCTGCTGCTCATACAGGCTCCTGTGCGTGCGAGTTGTTTGCTCTTCAAGCTGCGCGTGTTGACTCAGGCCTGGTGGAAAGGTTGTGTGGTCAGAGGATTTGAGGCGGCGCATCGCGTGTGAGCCTCACACGTTTTTGAACCGCTGTAAGCTGCAAGCTGTCAGCAGTCAGGTATGAGGAGCACATGTTTTGTTTGGTGTTTGTTTGCTTATCATAGAGTGTCCTGTTGCTTTGCTATCGAAGTTCTGTGTCTTGTCTTTGCATGTGAGTCTTGCAAGCCTGGCATGAAGATTGCAGGCTTGCAGTGTATGTCTCAATCCGGACACCCTCCCAATATTTCCATAGTTGTAGTTGGAGAGACTCTTCAAGGACCGGACTGCACATGAGCCTTGCATGGTTTCATTTAACGTGCTTTGTTGCGTTGCCTGTTTATTTTCCCAAAAGCCCGCAGCTTTGATGATGGCCAACATTCGTATTCCGACTTCCTCCATATTATTGTTCGTGGTGACAAGAAACCCTTGGGGGGTTGACTCCAGTACAAAAGTACTCTCAATCTCAAAGCAAGCAGTGTCCAAGACAATGCACATCTGGCATAGCACTACTATTAAGTGAGAATTCGGGGCTTCGCTTTTGGGCTGGACTGTCTCGCTTGCAGGATGTTAGAAGTCATGATGGCTCCCTTACTGAGTGTGACAACGGTAACAAAGAATCAAGAATCAAGACCATGCAAAGGGGATCCAAAGTTTTCTACCTCATGGGGGAACTACATGAAACAAAACACAGTGGACTACAAACCTAGTGAATCAATCTCTGGTGAAGGGCTCTACCTCGCACCAACCATCCCCTCTCCACCCAATCCACCCACTCCGTTTCCACCCACCACACTTACTACTGCACTCACTTCTCCCCGTACCACTCCACTCGCCAGATGCTCCGCTCACTCACTCACTTGCCCGCGTGCACGCATACACTTGCTCATGTGTGTGCGCGTGTGTGTGTGTGTGTGTGTGTGTGTGTGTGTGTGCACGCAAGGGGAGGGGAGGATTGAGGTGCTTCTCTGTATCGAAACCTGCATGGAGCTGGACCAATTTCGCTGCACACGCCAAAATCTCAAACACAACAACGTTGCTCCAAATTATGCCAGAGACAGCGACAGAGCAGGAGGGCGGGTGAGTGTAAGTGAGAGAGAGAGAGAAAAAGAGAGAGAGAGAGAGAGAGAGAGAGAAGAAGGAGAAAGACTTCACTAGACCAATATCACAAGTTCGAAAACAGCCCTAATCTCAAGTTTCATTTGCCTTCAAGCCTTGAAACCTGACCTTGGCACAAATGCAAGCATTGACATCGGCTGGAAGAAGTGCATATAGGTACTAGCGCCATTGATCGTGATGGACTGTTACTGCTATTCATGAAGTGGAAAGTGGAATCTTGGCCGTTTGCAAGGATCAATGTACTGAGCCATGCTTTTCCGTTTTGGGCAGTTCGGTGCTGGATTGTTGCAGTGTCCACTGACTTAACTTCATACTCGTTGAGGCCAAGCAAGAAAGAGATGAAAGGAGGTGGGCATGACATCTTTGGGAGCTGACCCCAGCTTGAATCGCTCAGGAAAGCTAGCAAACAGCAGGCCGCAAGCTGCCTAGTTGGTAACAGGAAACCACCAGAGCCCGTCGGCAGGAGTCCTCGCTGGCCTTCTTTTTCGACAATGAGCCAAGGATGCGACGAGTTTGAAGCCACCAAAATCCAAACGCCACTTGACAGGACCATTCAGGAGAAGCCTATGGCTGAAGACCAGAAGGCCCACTCGGTTGCCTGTCTCTGGTGGTGCATCCGCGTCCGAGGAGACTTCAGAGGCTGGGTCCAGGTTAATGCCTCAGGCCATGATGACACAATATCCGTTAGGATATTCGATAGGATTGCATCCTCAGGTATTGCGTACCAGTGAGGAGCCAAACAGCTTCCACGCTTTTTGTATCACATGCTGCACATCCAGGAGACTTAGTGAAGATGCCAATGGATCTGCATACCGAGTTGGGGTCTTGTGGCATGCTGTTTGCAGGCAGTTCATGCGCTCGCTAGCATCTTGCCGTGTTGACTGAGGCTCGGATTCACCGACGGCCTCGTAGAGTTCACATCTATTTCTCTGACACTGGAGGTGGTCATCGAGCATCAGCTCTCTCTCTGGAGGCACCTTGAGTTATGCATTGGCCTTGCAACATCTTGCCGTGACAGGCTGCTTTGCAGCGGCAGTATGGCAACCAGGCTATTTGCATAGGGTGCAGTGTTGTGCATTTCGACTCGTGGCTGCACTGCTTGTCAGGTGTCCATAGAGCTTGTCGATTTCATGCGGACAGCTATGCCTTGGCCACTGCGAGTGTCTTACAATTCCAGCCCCAGGGCTTTCTTGTGAGCCCCTCAGGTCCCAGGCGCCAGAAACATACCAGGCGAGAAGATGGCTTCGTTGCTTGGGCCTGGCAGTTTTGCAACGGCTCACAACTTGTGGAACGTGCGCAGACATTGGGGCACTTCCCATCCGTCTATAAGCGCGAGCAACTCCCAGACTTTCCATCGAAGCAAGACATCAGAAGTGTAACTCGATACTGAGGCTTGGGACTTTGACCAAGACAGCAACACTTGGCGAGACACCAGAAGTTGCTTGCTTGGTCTAACATTCTGGACTTGCAAGCCACACTGGTCTTTTGCAAGATTATTGGAATTGGCTGAGGTTATCAGATGATGTGGAGTTACAGCAAGGAGCAGGATGCCTAGTCATTTGCAAATAGCTGAGTGAGCTCGAACACCGATTCATGCTGACGCTACTTGCAGGTCCATTCTGAAATACTTCCAACAATGGGCCTGTGAGTTAGATCTCATCATCTCCGTCCATCCATTGCGACTTGGCCTGTGAGCATGGTCGTGTGCAATTAGCATGCTTCCTTTTTGAGAGAGCTCTTCGGCACAGGCTCTCATTGGAGGCAACGCCTTTCTTTGTTGTATGTCATAAGAGGGGCGGAACAGCACATAGCATGATTTATCGGCGCTTGCAGATTCTGCATCGCCGCGTGTGGGTGCACTTCGCACTCTGTGAAATCGACATTTTATCGCCTTTGCCTGGAACAAACACCTGGGCATATTGCAATCTCACCCACGTTATAGATGACTCTTGCAGGCAGATGACCTGTGCAGGGAAGCGATGTTTTCACTTGGCATGTTGCTTGCAAGGTTGAGCTTTGAAATGAGGATTGTTGCGTGCCTGTCCCAGGATTCACCATTTGGTCGTGGAAGCATTGGAGGAGATGTCGACAGGCAGCAGCTCAGATGCCCATTCAGCATAAAGCGGGTTCAGCTTGCCACGACTTTGTTTGCAGAATGGAGTCAGGCCACAGCATGCCACAGCATTTCGCATTTTGGAGGTTCTGGCATTCAGCGGGAGGCCAGCGTTGCACTGGTGGCCGAGCTTGCCGTCAGTTGACTGAGGACATGGGTCTGCCAGTTGTGACAGTGGCCTGAGCCTGAGCGTCCTTTAATTTTTGCGTGCTCCCTTCATGGCCCCCCCATTCGTTGTTTCGTATTTGCAAGATGGCAAACGGTATTCGGGGCCAGGAGCCAGCTCAATGACCACTAATGCAGACTGCCATAGGAGTGATGCTGGCTCAATCCTTTCTTGTCCTTTGGTTGTGTACTGCGATTTTGACCTTGTGCTTTCAGGCAGATTCATTCAAGCAGATTCGCCAAAGCAAATGTGCTTAAGTGCCGCTTGCTTCGGTGGCACCGACTTGCATTCTGGGTGGAGTCGCGCCTATGACAACTAAGCTTGAAAAACCTTACGCAGCAAAGCGGGAGTTGACTGCTGCAGGGTTGTACCGCACATCATTGGGAAGCTTCGCCCAGGTCACAGATCTAGGATCTGCACATTTGTCCTGGCACGGTAGCTTAAATGAGTCAGCTGTCAATGTCCCTTGGACTTGGAACCAGGTTTGACCCGCGAATCGACATGCTGTTTGTGCCAAGCGAGGCTGGGCATGTATATTGTCCTGATCGATTATTCAGGCTTTTTCAACGGTGCAGGCGATCTACCAACTTGCCATCAAGCATGGTGTGCCAAAATCGTCAGAGACCTCAGCTCTTGATCCTAACTACATTTTTTCAAACCATTTGTAACAGATCAGACGCCGTCCTTTCATTGTATGTATGCAGCTTCTGGACAGGAAAATAAACCTTTGCGGTCTTCCCTTGCGTGAAGGCTCAGGGCTGCCATGCCTCTCTCATGATTCACCAAGCTTGCTGGCAAGGCTTTTGGTGTGCGGATCCAATAGCCCCTGAACAAAAATGTTGCCTTCAGGACCTGCGTTCGTCGAAAAAGAAGAAGGAAAAACACACCAAAAAAACACATTTGTACACACTGGCTTGAAGGAGCAGTTGGGCCTACGACCCACAGAGAGACCTGAGGCCAGTTTGCTCTTCGCATCAAATGATCTGCAGCGTGGCACCTGTGTGATGACAAGCATACTGGCAAACATCGAGGTTGTTCTCCTCATGGGTGGAGGGGAAGGCTTTGGCCAGCTCATGAATGTCGGATGCCCAGTTCCAGCAAGGGCGGTCCCTGCTCTTTGGTGCTGATATTTGTATCGTTGAACACTTTTAGGTCTTTTTTGTTGGTTAGAGATGGACGTGAGTGGATAGTTGCAGCATTTTGCTTTGCCCGGGACGCCCCGTTTTATTCGGTGACTGCATGCCCTGGGTAGACTCCATAAGACAACCAAATTGTTTAACTGTTGGACATGGCATGGTTTGGATCCGTAAGGTGGCATGTGCCATTGGCGACAAGTTGGTTGGCAGATGCCTGAGCTGAGCTATGTCTTTCGTAGTAGAACCAGAGACTGTTTGACCCTGTGCAGATGTAACAGCTGACATTGTAATGACAGCTTTTGGCCAGACAACTTTGCTGCCATGACAGGTCTTGGTTATGGACAGCTGGTGGTTGTCTGCGGGAGGAATGAGGAGGCTTCATGCCGTGCTGCCAACAGGGCCCCATGATGCCCACAGGGTCCCCGGAGCACATGCGTTCCTGTTGCAGGTGCGGAAAGCACTCTCAGAGCTACTTGGCTTTCCCTGTTGGATGGGCTTGCCTCAAGGGTTGAAGGTTCAATCCACGTTTTGCCTTGGCATGAGTTGAATGGAAGGCTGCACAGGTAGGTTTGCTCGTTCAGAACGTGCACACCCGAGGCGACGTTGGAGTCCACGAAACTTTGGGGACTGGACTTGCAGCATTTTTTCATTTTTCCAGTCAATGCACTCAAGCTTCCAGGAGTGGCTTTTCGAGCCCTTGATCCTGGGATTCGTGAAGAACGTTGACCAGCACAGTTCATAGAGACATAGAGACTCACCGCATCGCACAAGAAAGACTTGATCGATGACTGCGATGACTGCGATCGCTGTGTTGAGGTACATGACTGCTGCGGATTGCCTAGTAACCAAGGTGCGCATTGCGCGCATGCCGAGATTCCATGCCCTTAACGCCCAAGAAATTCACGATCTCCGGCAGGCTGGTCCAGGCTCCATTGCGGAGGCCTTGATCAAAGGCACTTGGGCACCAGTGTGTGTGTGTGTGCATACCGACCCACGATCAGCATCTGAGTTTGAGTGCAGACACACTGCTGCAGGTTTGCCCTGCCTTTTGACTACCTTCATCCCGGGGCAAGAGGAGGGTAACATCAGCTTCGCATTGCTGGCGTGCTTACTCTTAGCGAGTGCCAGACGGACAATGCCAAAAGCCAGGTCACTGAGAACGGCGCTGGTTCCTACGTCCCAGATGAGGCCACAGAAACGTCCAACATGTCCAACAAGTATACCCCCCGTGCCACGTATGGGGGTACCCTACTGAGCGCCAAGTAACTTTGTACGGATTAATGTTGACTTTCGTCAATTTTTGTTGGGTGAGGGGTCAAACTCATCAGAGAGCCGAACCTGTAATGTGAAAGGGCAGACTCACGGGAGCACCGAGCTTTGGACATTTGATTTCCGCCAGAGCCATCCACGGCACAGGGCTTTCCTCCCGTGACCAGCATGTCGATGTACACCGCCATGTACCCGACCGTCTCCGCTTCCCCAAGGCTGCGCCCTTCTCCAGACATTCGTCTCCTTCTTCTCAAACCAAGGCCAAACCCCCTCCTCCTCGAACTCCCAGCTGATGGATCCGATGGTCTCATCCCGATGATCCGCCCATGCCCGAGGCGAGGTCGTCAACCCGTGGACTCTACTTTCCACCGCCCAGAGACAACGATGTCCTCGGTCTGCCCCAGGGGCACCTCAAAAAACGCCGTCCGATCGCACTCACGCTGCGACCATCGCCCTCACCTCGTCCTCCAGCATACGTTGCAGCAGCTGGCCGAGGACTCTTATAGTTGGCACGCGCCACGCCCCAGCATTTTCTGCGGCCAGATCCAGGTCCAAAAGCGCTGCTCGTTCCGCCTCCATCGCTGGGATCCACTTCTCCAGCTCCTTGCAGATCTCCCCAAGGCTGTAGGTTGGTCTCTTCTTCTGCCACAAACCCGCCGACCGCCTCCTGGTCCTCTTGCCCCTGTAGAGCTCGAAGCCACCCGCGATCTCCGAAGCATGTCCCCATTTCGTTCTTCTCCAAGCTGCCACTCCTCTCCATCATCAACCTCCCGCTGGCCTGGCACTCCATCAATGAACAAAGACCAGCTTCAAAAGTCTCTCTGAACCTCCTCCGGACCGGCTCATGCTTTGCCCCAAGGTTGCCTCGCTCGCCCTCCTCAGCCCAAATCTCTTCACCTTCATCCGGTGGGTCATCCGCCAGGACCACGTCCGCCGTGTGGAAGAACCTCTCATCCTCCCCCTGGACAAAGTACCCTCGCGGCCTCAGGGCCTTCAGCTGAGCTTCTTCTCTAGCTTTTTCGCTCCAAAAGGATTCAGCTCAGCGGCCTCGGCTCTTCGGCTTGGTCCCAAAGCGACAGCATCATCCCGACTCGGCTGCCAAGGGACCAAAGCCGTTTCTCCTCCAGGTGACCCTTTGCCGCCTTCCGCAGTTCTCGCCGAACCTGGAGAGGACGCTGCCATGGCTCGTCACTGGGAGCGCTTTGGGCTCATAACCCACAAACTGGAAAAATTTGCTCAGGTGAGTTCCCCAACAGCATGCGGTGCTCTTTTCTTGTACTCGGGCCCGACCGCAGCTCGGGAAGCAAACCACCGATCCAAGCCACCAATTGCCGCTTTACCTGTACAAAGGTACAGCCGACAGTGCCCGACCGGGGCCCGAGGAGCAAACCACAAATCCAAGCCACCAATCATAAAGCACCGCCGGCTTGGCTTTGCCGCATTAGCTGTTAAGGTACAGCCGACGGTGCCCGACCGAGGCCCGACGGTGGCCTCGATCGGGGCCCGACGGTGCAATCGATGCCCGACAGTGCAATCGGTTCCCGACTTGGGGCCGGGGAGCAAACCGCAAGCCACCAATCATAGCGCGCCGCCGGTTTTGCTTGGCATGTTGCTTCAGCTGTTTCGGTACCCGCCGGTCCCCGCGCGCCCCGATCGGGGCCTGACCCGAGCGAGTGCTCAACTGTAAAGCAGCAGCCTTGTGGAGGCCTTGTGCCCCTTGTGGAACCCTTGTGAAACCCTGTAGAACCTCACCTCAGTGCTGCCCCCCAGCCCTTGCAAACCTCGTGGAACCCTCATGGAATCCTGGTAAAACTCTGGTGGAATTCTCATGGAAACTTACTTGAGGGCCGCCCCGCAGCCCTTGCAGAACCTGGAGCGTTCGTGGAGCTCTGGTGGAGCCCTGGTGGAACCTTTGTGGAACCCGACCTTTGGGCCCGGACCACCCCAGAGCCCATTTGGGCTGAGTATCTGGGCTGCGACCCAAAGCTTTCAGCTGGGGAACAAGAGCGCCGCTCTTTTCCTTTCTTAGGCGCTAAAGGCTGTCATCAGCCGGTTCAAGTTGGCCATTCCTGGGCAACAGCCACGAAAACAGGAACATGCTGCGGTAATACAACAGCAGCTGCAGTATTGCCACAATTACTACCTCCAATGAATGTGCAAACTACAGCAATGCGCAACATCTGCAGCAAAACACCACTGCCATCCCCTGGAGGCATGGTGAATGAATGCAACGCCCTGCCCCCCCCCCCCCTCCGCCCACGCATCTGAGCTTCTTGCGCCGCGCTGCGTTGACTAAATGAATCAATTGTTCGTTGCCCAGCAAAGCTAGGGCTCCTAATCGGTCCCTATCTAATAAAATAGGGGAACGAAAAGTCAAGGTCTAAGCAAATGATGTTGTCAGTCATGCTGTAGAGCATGTGTGAACATGAGGCAGGAGCCTTCAAGGGTCATAGCGCACTGTTTGTCAACTGGGTCAAATTGAACAACTCAAGCCTCTTTGTTCTTGACAACCCACGAGTACATACAACGCACAAACTTTGTTTCAACGCAAGATGCGCACGTGCGTGCGCGTCGCAAACGTGGCTGCGCCAGCTGGCAGCTGGGCTACTACACGAGCAGAGCCGCACAGACAGAACTGCACAAGCAGGGCTGTGCAAAAGAACCAAACACACATCAAACAAATAAACTAAAACAAACACTTCTCCGAAAAAAAAATAATACATGTGCAGGCCAATGATAGGTCTGCCACATTCCTTCCTTCCTGACTAAGCGCCAGCTAGTTGCTGCGCTGCGAAGCCCCCTGCTGCTTGCTCTCCGCCCCCACCCAGAAAGCCCTGCCAACTTTGAATCTGGGCCTGAGTCCTCCTTGTTGCGGATCATGCGCAAGGAAGACACGAAACTATCGAACACATTCGACACCGGGAAACCTGGTCAAATCACATCAAACCCAGAAGGCGATAAGCAACGCAGCCCCCTCTTTGATCTCCGCCCCGCTTCATTCGGGGGTGGCTCAGTTTTGGGTGTGTGCCAATATGTCACTTCTGAGGGTTTTAGTCATTTTGCTGGGGAATTTCTGGAAGCTGGAACACGTGAAGTTTGTGTAGTGTGTGTTTACCATGATTTTGAAATGCACCAGGCATGCCCCTTAAGTACCAAATCAAGATCGCTTAATGAGCGCCCACGGTACCATCCAATTCATTAGTTCCCCACCAACATGGGCCTGCTCGACATTACTTTTCAAGTTTGTGCGCTGGGGTGGTGCGCGAGGCTGGTTTGAACATCGATCGAGGGCCCCACTTTCAGGGTTGCAGGATTGCTTGGCTTTCCTGCGGCTACCAGACTTTCGCTGCTTCGGTGCTGTGGATAGTGCGCCAGATATGGCTTGAACCTTATTTGGTGGCGTTGTGTTGCAGATTGCCCTGTTACTTTGCTTTGTTGGTCCAGCTCTCGAGCCTCCTTGCGTAACGGGAAGCGCTGCGGCCACATTCGGCTCATGAACAGGTTGTGGGACCATGCTCTCTTGATGCTTTCTGGGTTCACATCTTGTGTTGTGGCAGCGCTCGGCACTACCTTCAAGCCATCATAATTTGGTTTTACATCCTTGCTGCCGTGCCACCTCTGGCCCTGAAACAGCGTCTAAAACATTCAAAGCGGGGAAACCCAGGACCTGTCCAGGACTGAAGTTGAAGATGGAAGGCTTACTGTCATCGGCGAACTTCGGAACAGCAAAGATGGAAGAAATCTCCGAAGAACTGACTGGAATGTGACATCGGCCGCAATGCCATCAGCCCCCAAGCGCCACTACCACTGGGGTCAATTCTGGTTATTTGCGCAGGTTCGTGAGGAAAGTGGTGCACATTTGGGTGGGGATGGTTCGAAGTGTTTGTTGTTCTTCATTCTTGCAAGTAGATGAACGACTGAACTTCTGGCAACAGGTTCAATTCAACACTCGGTGCCCGGATTTATTGCAAACACTTCGCGTTGCCCGCCTCGGCCAGTCCGCTTTTGGCTGGCTTTGAGGTATTTACTGCTTTTGAGTTTGCCTTGAAGCGTTGCGTTTGTTAGAGTGAGTGAGTTGGCGCCTTCTACTTACTTGAAGAGTGCCCCTCACTTAAACCCCCTATATCGTAGAGTGTCCAAAAAGGGCACCACCCCCTCTGGCAGGAGCCAGAGCAGGTGGCGGAAAAAATCGCCGAATGGCTTTCGGCTGGCGCCCAAGCTTCATGACGCTGAGTTGCCTTTTGTGGGGGATGTGGCGATCCGTGCCAGGATGAGGAGGCCATGAAAAGGATGTCTGAGAACGCGCAACTATCTCAGAGATGAGCCAGCGCAGCAGTGCTTGCATTGGGACTGAGGCGACGCCTGGCAAAGCCAGATGCTGCATTGGACATCACTCGCAGGATGGATTGGTTATCTTGGCGTGCCTGCAATCACAAGGCTGTCACGTGAAACCACAGAATAGGATGTGCGATAGCCTGCTTGATCTTGGCATCGAGCTTGACGAGGCGTTATTTTGAACCTGTTCTGAATCCTGGATATGACTTGAAACCTCAGGTAAAGCAAGGCCAATTCGGATCGCTGCGAAAGCACTTGATGCAACGGAAGGAGACTGAAGGCATAGGCGCAAACTGTGCGTTATCGCCATGCTGTGCTTCACTCGCAGGAACGGCGACAGTCTAAGCTTCGGGGCGAACCCTCTCAGGCACAGAGACTCACTGTCAGAATTCCATCACTGCTCGATTTGTCAGGCTTCTGACAAAGATGCAGAAGGCTCATGAGACGCCTTTGCTCAGCAACTCGACGCACAAGTTGACAATCTCCGCTCAAGTGCTAGGAAAAAAGCAAGCGTCACAGGCGGCCATGAACAGCTTAGGAAGATGGCTGTCAGGTTGCAAAACGCATCTGATGTCAAAGGCACACACAGCACAGACTTCGCAAGGCAGCTCAAGTTTTCAACAGCGCATTGAGCTTACTCGGGCAAGTGGAGGTTGGGGGGACATTGCGCTTGAATAGAGGCAGACACCGATTTTGGTTTCTTACACGTTTTTGGCAAAGCCCTTTGGTACTTCTCTTGCGTCTGATCAGGCATCAAGTGTATTTCTTTTTGTTTCCTTGGTTTTGTCTGTCTCTCTACATTCGTGCTTTAGCTGACTTATTGATTCCAACGCATCTAGCAAGTAGCATCATTCAGATGATTGCATTCTGCGTAAATCTGACCTGCATGATTGAGAACTTTGAGATGCGTATAATGTGAGTTCATTCCGTTCACGTTGAGTTCGCTTGTGCAGCTTGATGCAATCTGAAATGGTACTCATTGACATTCTTCCAACAGTGCAGTTCAACCGAGTGAATGTCACTCACTAGTCCTAGATACTTTGCGGGAAGGGTTGACCTTGACAGGCTTAGATCATGTGATTGAGCGTCGGATTGGAATCATCATGGCGGTCAGCCCACAACTGCTTCGCAAGTTTGTTTGTTTGTGTGTGTGTGTGCGGAGTGTCAGATTCACCCTGACACCACTTTTCTCGTCGTGACTATGTTTTTCAGCAGGGGGTGCCAGGATCAGAGCAAGGCTGGCGCCAACGAATACCTTTGCTCTTGCCTGTGATATCAATCTCGGACGCAAGATTGACGTACCTGCATCAGTGATTTAAAGTCTTTTTGGCCCCTTCTTTTGTCGCTGTGTGTGCTTCTTGTTTGTCCTGGTAACGTTTTCGATTCTAGAGGGAAGCCATCGGTCTCACCACTCAAACACCTGCCCACTCGAAACTTACCGGTTGTACTCGAAAGATGAGATCTGTGTGACCCCGGGCCGGCCTCGCCGGAAAATTTGATCTCAACGTTCTGATCATAGACCAGCGGAATTTCGCATTTAAGCAGACACGAGGTTTCGCTAAAGGGAAGACAGCCGCTCTATCATAGAACGTTTTGCCCGACATATACTATGGCTGGCATCGGTACGGCGGCGTGCAGAACGCGAAGAAGAGGCGAAAATGCCTGATGTGCAGCTGGTCCAGCTCGATGGCAAAACCCTGCCAACCCACCATTTGTGGCTCAGAACTCCGTTCCATCAGCACAGATGAGCTACATGTCGACACCACCTCCGCCGTTCCATCCTCCCGGTTATCATCTTTCCGCCTTTGAACTTCATGCAGCCCGTACTGCTACGTTTCCTCCGGAGCCAGTTGCACTACGTCATCTCGTCCTCAAGCGCCTGAACCTCCTCAAGTACGCCTTCCAGTTCAACAGGCTCAGCATTGGCTCCAACCTCCTTCTGGACGCCAGGTGATGGCATGTTGGATCGCAATCCGGTCTTTTCCAACGCTCCCCGCAACAAGACGCAGAACACCGCGGGCATGGACGCGATGTGCGTTTGATTCATCGACCGTTCGCCCACGGACGATTGTGACGTGGGAAGGATTCCGAACACGCACCGCGGCACTGTTGTGGAGCACGTGCTTCAAACTTCTTCGGCGACCTCAGCCTCTCAACCTGCTCACCCTTGAGAAGGGCCGCGTCGATGGGGCTTAGCATTGATGACTTCAACCAGCGGATCAAGGTTCATGAACGCTTGGCAAACCTGGTTTTGGAGTTTATCTCCAAACATCACCAGACCATTTCCACCAAGCCCACTGAGGATGACGCTCTCAAGCGTTACCACACATGAGCTTCTACAAGCACAACTCTCAGCTGCCAATCGGACTTCTACACCCCCCCGCATCGACTACGCACAAGGCAGACTCGGTGCTCATTACTCCGCCGCCCACTTCTCATTCGGACTCGTTCCCTTCATACGCACGGAATGTCACCTCGGCCTAACAAAGTGTCACACAAACATCTCCATCTTACAGCCCACAGCATGCTGGAGGAGGTGATTCAGCATTACAGTTGGACGAGTTCTATGACCCGTTTCTTCTCCTTGCTGACAGGCGCCCACTACCTCCACACCGCAGCCCCTAATCGCTCTATATGACTCAACGGTAACAAGAACCTTGATCCTTTTGCCACTAAACTGCAGCAAGCGCTTCGTCTTGCCAACGGAGATGCACCTACGTTTGCCTCGATGGCAGCCATGTGGGGCCTGGAGCCGGCTTACGTCGCCAAGCTCACCGACAAAGCCCTCTGCGCCCTCACTGTCACTGCTCGTCTTCTAGCATAGTGAGCGTACATGACAGCACACTTATTAGCCCGGAGTGGCGCAGCCTCGAGTTGCAGTTGAAATTTTGATTTGCTGTTTTATGTCTGCATGCAGAGTCATTCGCTGCAGTTTGACTCATTCACTTGCATTGCTGTGTGTGTCTTATTACGACTTGAGTTGTTGCTTTACTTGCATGATATCATTCGGGCGTCCTTGACATGCTGATTTGCTTGAAAGCTTGATTTGACTTGACATGTAGGTTCATTGACTGCGCTTGGAACCATTGACTTGCGTTACTGTGTGCGTTAGATTTCAGCTTGAGTTCCGCCAAGGCGCTTGCTGTGACTGCATTCCTTTTGCTCCCAGCTTTGAGCATGTCATTGAAATGTGGACCGAGTTTCGGCATAGCGGTCTTCTTGATGATGTAGCTTGGTGGCAATCTTTATCCTCGTTTCTTGGCACGTTGCTACATGTTGGTCTTTCTCCTTTCCTGAGCATCCTCGCCCCAGTGCCTGATGCTGAAGTTCAGTCCATTCATCATTTGGCCCACTTCGACATGATGGTTGAGGCCATCCCACCCGGCCGACAGTGCTTCCTCTCTCACAAAATCTTGTTTTGATGCTGGCATGGAGTGACTCATTGTCTACATGGCTGATTAAAAGGTCTCTGTTTTCTGCGCCTGGCTTGATCGGTGTTTGGTGTGCCTTGTTTTCTTGCGTTGTTCTTTGCTCTTGGTTGCTTCAGCTGTTGAGACATTGGCGTAGCAACAGTCCTTCGCATGGAGGTTGAACGTGATGAATCTGTTCGTGATCATCATCTCGGCCGGCAACCTTGGCTGGAGTATTCTCAATGGCGCGGCCAGGACTGGGTCAAGATCTTCATGCGGGAAAAAGCGCAGACTTGGTACCGAAACACATATAGGGTGTGGGAACCTGTGCTACCTGAAGGTGATGCGCTGCATCAACCATGAGGCTTGGGCCATCCAGGATTGGCATTGTCAAGGTTTCCAACGCATTCTTACTCGCAAGGGGTCCTTTTGCTCTCCACACGCACCAGATCGGCACTCAGGACATCACGGACAGGGATGACCCCCCGTCACCTAGCGCGCAACGACGGTCTCAACGCTGACTCAGACAACATGCAGGGTGTCGACAGTTCCTTCATCAATCTCATCAACAGTTTCCAGCCCCTGATGGACAATTGTGGTCGGTCTAGCAGGGCGTCTTCTGTGAAAAAGAGTCTCCCGCCCCTCATTGAGGGTCGTGTGTGTGCGGAGTGTCAGACTCACCCTGACGCCACTTTTCTCGTCGTGACTATGTTTTTCAGCAGGGGGTGCCAGGATCAGAGCAAGGCTGGCACCAACGAAGACCTTTGCTCTTGCCTGTGATATCAGTCTTGGACTCAAGATTGACGTACCTGCATCAGTGATTTAAAGTCTTTTTGGCCCCTTCTTTTGTCGCTGTGTGTGCTTCTTGTTTGTCCTGGTAACGTTTTCGATTCTAGAGGGAAGCCATCGGTCTCGCCACTCGAATACCTGCCCACTCGAAACTTACCGGTTGTACTCGAAAGATGAGATCTCTCCTTCGGGAGTTGAAGTGTGTGTATGTGTGCATGTGGGGTGTATGTGTGCAAACGTTATGTTGGGTCAGATGCGTGCCTGGGTTGGATATGATTTGCGACTTTTTCCTGCCTGTGGATGTAGCCAATTCGGCTCTTAGCTGAGCTGGCTAAGAGTCTGACCGATTCGGGCGCTATGTTTGTGCTGGTCCTTGCTTTGGCCAGCATTTCTGTAGGGCTCCCAGTTTTCCCCAACCTCACGCATGGATCAAGAGCAGCCACTGGCAAGTCGAGGTGGCAAGAGGCTCGGTACCACCTTGTGCCCAAGAAGGAGTAGCCTACAAGGACCTTTTGTGATGTAGAAAATATACCAGCATTGCCCGACCTTGTGTGGCATTTGCAGCAGTGAGCAATGGCAAGAAGCTGAGTGAAGGATCCTGCCGTGACGCGCAAAAACGGGGGCAAACCATATGATGCACTGGCGTGCCTTGGCATGTGTCTGCACTTTGAGGCAAGGGAAGTCATAGCACATCATCTCGTCCGAGGTGCCAGATGTATTGTGAGACAACCCCAGATTGCAATTTTTTTACATACTACCAGGAATCAAAGGACTGCACGCAAGGATGCTTGCAGCATTGCAACAAGATCCGCTGCCTGGCAGGATTGTTGGCTTCTGGGAGCTGACGCAATCATGACACCCAATGTGGCGGGTGCCGTGAGTGGGCCAGAGGATTGCAACCACATGCGGGAAGGCAGCAATGTGGCCACGTCTGAGCCGAACCCCCTCAGCAAATACCCGGACGTGAAGGTTGCTCCTCAATCTCCTGAGATTTCTGAACGTGTAGCTGCGCAAGACGATACTGATGGTGTGCTTGCTGCATCTTCTGGGGGCTCAGACTTCCCATTTGGGTGGGTTCTGGGCTGCTCTGCTGCAATTGAGGGCATTGCTTTGAACATGCACTGGGTCTTGCAAGCTAAATCGATTGGAGCAGTGTTCGTTGAGCCTTGGAGGTGGAGCAGCAGCTGGGCTCGGTGTTGCCGGGCTTGGCGCTCTTTTGTGGACGAAGTCGGGAGGCGGCAAGAGCGAATTGAATGGGACCTTTGCAGGTGTATGTGAGCTGGGTTCTCCGTGATGTTGAGAACCGCTGAATATGGCCCCCCTAGAAACTATTTCCTTAGAAGCCGGTCAAATTCCCCCCACCCAACTCCCCACTAGAAACCGGTCAAACTCCCCCTAGAAGCCAGTCAAATTTACTCCAGAAACCGCTAAATTTTCCCTAGAAACTGCCCTGGTAGGTATATATCAAGATAGAGATGCTCAGCCCCCCCACGATCTACCTTTGCATGCGTTTGTTGTTCCGCTAGACCGTTTAATATGAACAGAATTCTCGTAGCTTCAATTTGAATTTTCAGTTTAAACGGATTTCAATTGGGTTTGACTTCTTATTCTTCTTTCAAATTAGATGCTTGAGGTGATTTCCTTTCCCGGAAATTAGGCTAAAAAGTGGATTTCCTTTCCCAGGAGGATGTGTTCATGTTTTTTCAACAAGAATTTATACATATTTTAGCAAGGAACACATTCTAGTTTTTGTTCTGATTTCAGTTAGAATTGACATGGGTTCTTTAAACAGGATTTCAAGCACATGTCAAGCATGTTTTGTACATTTCAAACTATACTTTAAAGGTGGAATTGCTTTCCCAAAAGACACGCATCAATGGAATTTAGTAAGGAACAGAGGTCTAGTATAAATCATGCGTCAACTAGAACTCAAATAGGATTCCTTTTGAAGAGGACTCCAATTGGGTTTTAATTTGACATGGTATTTCTAAATAAAAGTTAAATATATTTTCTTTCCGATGAGGATGTTTGACTCTCAGAAACATAATATATATATATATATATAGGCACTAATAAGGACATAATTCTAGTAGAACTTCTAGTTTCAATTAGAGTCTCAGTATGTTTTCATTTTTAAACAGGTTTTCATTTCGGTTTCCATTAGAATCCTTATTTCAATATTGCCTCTAAAGGGGGTTTCCTTTCCAGAAAGATTTGTTCAATCTTTCAAACGTAGTTTAGATAGCGATTATTTTGGACCTATATAATGCCAGCATAATCTTTAGCTTCAACTATAAGTTGAGTAGGCTGCTTTTCACGCAAGCGGATTTGACTGAAATCTGTGTACACTTCATATTTCGGAATATGTTTTAAAGGTGCTATCCTTTACCAGGAGATGTGTTTGTTGAGCAGACCTGAATCGGCTTGGGTGTGTGTGTGTGTGTGTGCGTGTGCGCGCCACATGCCCGAGTCACAACAGCAACTTGTTGTTGAGCCATGCAAGTGCACAAAAAGTCCGCCCGGAAAAAAAATCAAGCGCAGACCCAAGCGACTCCTCTCTACCTTAAAACCAACCTGTCGAGCTGCGAAGCTAGCCGTCTGTCAAACCAGCTGTGCGCCCAGCTAGCTATTTTTGCAGCCGTCTTCTTGTCAAGCAATCTGTTCGCCAAGCTAGCTTCATGTCAAAGCAGTTTGTCTGTCAAGCTGGCTAGATGACCAAAAAAACACAATCCTTTGAGGCCAATGCTGTTTGGTCCAAAAAAGAACAAACACTTCCAGGCCTCAACATGCTGTACGGTCACATTGTTTCTGGAACCTTATAGTATTTTTGAAAAATTTGAGGCCTGGAACTCAAATGCCTGCAAGGTCGCGAAAAGCACAATCTTTTCAAGCCTCCCGGGTCCAAAGACCAAAATGATTTGTTTTGTGATTGTGTTTTACCTGACAGCACTTTGCAACCGTAGGATTGGGTTTTGAGAACCTTACAGCGTTTTGAGGCCTGGAAGTGCCAAAATGCTATAAGGTCCAAACAAGTACCATCCCTGCTCCAAGACCCCAAATGATTGCCTTTTTTGTTTCTTTGGCCTTACAGCACTTTGGAGCTGTAGGATTGGGTGTTGGGCATTGGAGCTGTTTGGGCCTCGAGTCGCTAAACAAACGAAACAACTCGAGGACTTGATAAGAGCAAATGAGCGTATCGCAGATCTCGTCCCACACACACCCACACACCCCCACACCCACACACCCACACACACCCACACACCCACACACCCACACACCCACACACCCACACCCACACACCCACACACCCCGCACCCACACACCCACACACCCACACATACATGTCACATTACCCCACGAGTGCGTGCGTGCGTGAGTGAGAGGGCGTGCGTGCGTGAGTAAGAGTGAGTGCACGAGCGAGCACGTGCGTGGGTGCCGCGTGCGTGAGTGCGAGCGTGCACGAACGCGTGAGTGCGTGAGCGAGCACGTGATTGCTTGACTGCCCTGTCAGCACGCCTTGTCAGGTCAAGTCATTGGCGTATAGTTGTTGCCCAATGAATGCAACACAAATGCTTGTATTATGAAAACAAATAGAGTTCGCTGTACAGTATGACATGTAATAAAATGTTCAACACAAATGTGCAGTGAGGCAACAGCATGCAATGTGGCGTACCTTGATGCAGTAGGTGCATGGCAATGTGATGCTATCTTGCGAAATGCGAACAAGTTGGCTCTCAGGTTTTCGGCAAAAAAATGGATTGAAGAGCTTGGCATATTGATGCGCTTGTGATGATGCGTTCCTTTGTTTTAGGGTTGGCCTGCTTACACTCTCCAACAGGCATGGGCCGTTCACGCAAAAGAACATCCAGAGGTGTGAAGGCCTTGACATGTTGTGCAACATGTGTTGTGGTCACTGATTGGCGAAGGTGGATGGGAAAGATCAGACTGGTGTTTCGAGTGAGGACAGGCCATTGATGCAAGGCCGGACATGCTTCGATGAACTCAAAATACCTAGTCTCATGAAAGCCTTCACCGTCAGGCACAGTGCCGGTGCCATCGCCTTTCCAGCCTGCCTTCCAGATGCAAAGCATGCCTCAGGCAGTGGACTGGGAAGATGTTGAGTCAGAACCTGGTCCGAGCTTTTGCCATACACATTGCATCAGGCGACGCCATATTTTGCGCCGCCATCGCCTATGATGAACCAGCCTTACAGAATGCCCGCCTATGGCCATCCACCGCAGGCATCTACAACTTGTGTAGGTTGAATTTTGGCAGGCATTTGTTTCTTGCACAAGCTGGCTCGTGCAAAATCGCGTGCCTTTTTGGTTTAGTATTCTGCATTTAGGCAGGCCATGTCGCGGCCATGTGCTAAAATATTTTGTACATCAGGCATGCTGCAAACACTCACGCCGTGGCATGTCAGGCCTATGCGCCGCGGTACTACGCTTGAAGCGCCAGCGGCTGCCAAGTACCCCCGCTGCTGCAAGTCACACAGTGCTCCTAGCTTGCAAAGGCAAGCAGTGAGGCTGTGGAATTGGAAGTAGGCTTACGACGTTTGCTCTTACGACGTCTACTACAATGGCTTAGATAATGGCCTTGGAGCCGTGAAACGTTGGTAGATCATCACTTGGAGCATGTTGGCAGCGGCCAGATGGTTGATCACAAGTGCGCGTCCAGTGGTTCCAGAGCTGCACAACAAGACCATGGACACTGAAACCATGCATGTTGCACATGTGACCAGCTTTGCAACCCAAGTGCAATGTTTGCATCTTTGTTCCACCAGACATGGCTCTCAAAGGATACAATAGCCATGTAATGATCTCAGCCGTACTCGAATGGATACATGCTGAGCTCAACGACCAGGCGCGTCAGAACCCTGGTGGAAGTGGTGGACCAGCAGGCTTGCTCGCCAACTTGCAAGCTGCAGGAATGGCATCTCCCAAGAGTTCCCCTTCATCTCCTAGCAGGCGTAAACCGGGTGCCAACGGTGCCAAGTCGCCAGTTCGGAAGAATCAAGGCAGGGACTGCCATTGCTCTGTTTGCCAAATCAGTTCAAGTTATGCATGCAGGTCCAAAGCAGACCCTCACCGCTGCCACTGAGCTGATACCGGAAGGGGATGACAGATGGGCTCCACCGGTGCAGCTCTCACTTGGACTGTGCCAAGTCTGGGAGGGTGTCTGAGAGTTGTCAAGCCCACCCCAAGGCATGGGTACAAACAGTGCTGCTAGCCCACAACGAAAAGCGGGCTGCGCATTGGACGCCACCCTTGGCATCTTAGTGGCAGGAGTGTGCAGATATACGAGCATCATGAAAGGCTGCCAATGTGCTGAGGTGTGGAGTCAAGAGTGCTACGAGCACGCCAGGACGCGTGATTGTAAATAGTTTTGCTGCAAAGGCTACGCTAGTACATTGGATTGAAGACGGCTGCAGGATGCAAGCACAGGCATGTGAAGCAGCTGAGCGGCGTTTGCCCGGCTGCCAAGATTCTCCATACATCTCTGAGTTCCTAGTGTGATCTCCAAACATAATTTGTTATATCACTGAGCAGCAACCAATGGTGGCATTACTAAGCATGTAGCACAAGTGTAGGCACGAGATATGTTCCAACATGCTGATCTTCCATTGGCTGCTCTGTGCTTTTTCTTTGCCGAAGCTGTACGACCGGGCATTTTGATTGGTGCCAGGACCAAGAACTTCATCGAGAGTTTGAGTGGTCGACACGGGCAGAACTTGCTTGGGCCTTCAAGGACGGCGCCATGGATATGCCCAAAAAATATGAGCAAGCCAATATTTCATATCCCGCCCTTATCCCACCTTCAAATGCTTTCTGAAAGTGTGACAAAGGATCCAGGGAGTGAGGAAGGGTTTGACTGTCTCGTGGTCTTCAAAGTGCACGCCTGTTGAGTCAATTCTTGGCTGCCTATCCCTCTTTGCCGCTGATAAAGTGGACACGACTTGCAGTCCCTTGAATGTTTGGCTGTCTTGAATTATCCGTTTCCTGCTGACTTAGCAGGTGGCTTCCACGTTCATTGTTGTGTTTGTTGGGTGTTTGAACAAGCAAACAACATAACGCGCAAGTGAGCAAAATAGCACACACAAACAACAGGTGCAACTATTGCTGCTACTGCGAATTGGCAGGCAGCAAAGCAGCTTGCTGCCTTTTTGGTGGCAAAACTCTCTGGCAATCATATGTCCGAATTGCGCCTTGTACATATTGTGGTTTGACTGCCCATGAGTCTTTGACAGCGGCGGGTGGCGAGATGGCCTGCCTCCTGTTTGAATCTCCAAATAGTTAGAACGGGGTTGTGGCCCCCTTTGAACTGCTATTTCAGACACCCCTCGATTGGTTTGGGTTAGTGGGGATTTGAACCCCTTATAGAGGGTAAATGGGAAACCACCCCTAACCACCAAACCCAAACCACCAACTAGAAGCAAGCTGGCAATTGTTTCAACAACCTTCTTTGGGTTCCCCTAGACACATGGTGCCTCGTCACGACAAAGCTACTGAATTCCAATTTCTGGGCCTGCGGCCTCTAGCCGGCTGCGCCTCTTTGAAGTTATACCATGTCATGCCATTCCCCAGACAGCTGAAAGTTATAGGGGTTCTAACTTCTAATAAAGAAGGGAAAGTGATTTGCGAGATTAAGGGCCGGGTGCTATGGGGCATGCAGTTTGGGGTGCTGGTGGAGGTGCTAGGGGGCATGCAATTTGGGGTGCTGGTGGAAGGGCTGTTTTGCGAGATTGACGGCCGGGTGATAGGCGGCATGTAGTTTGGGTGCTGGTGGAGGTGCTGTTTTGCGAGCTTGACGGCCGGGTGCTAGGGGGTCCAAGTTGGAGTGCTGGTGGAGGTGCTGTTTTGCGAGATTGACGAACCTGTGCTAGGGGGCATGCAGTTTGGGGTGCTGGTGGAGGTGCTGTTTTGCGTGATTGACGGCCGGGTGCCAGGGGGCATGTAGTTTGGGGTGGCGAGAGTGATGGCCAGGTGCTAGGGGGCATGCAATTTGGGGCGCTAGTGGAAGGGCTTTTGCGAGCTTGACGGGCATGCAGTTTGGGCTGTTGGTGGATGCTGTTTGGCGAGCTTGACTGCCGAGTGCTAGGGGGCATGTGGTGCTGGTGGCGGTGCTGTTTTGCGAGACTGACTGCCGGGTGCCTGGGGTGCTGGTGGAGGTGCCGCTTTGCGACATTGACGGCCAAGTGCTGGTGGAGGTTTGCGAGCTTGACGGCCGGGTGCTCGGGGGCATGCGCGCTGGTGGAGGTGTCGCTTTGCCAGATTCCGAGTGCTAGGGGGCACCCAGTTTAGGGCGCTGGTGGAGGTGCCACTTTGCGAGATTGACGGCCGGGTGCTAGGCGGCATGTAGTTTGGCTGTTTTGCGAGATTGACGGCCCTGGGGGTGCTAGTGGAGGTGCCGCTTTGCGAGATTGACGGCCGGGTGCTAGGGACATGTGGGTGCTGGTGGATGTGCTGTTTTGCGAGATTGTCGGCTGGGGGGTGCTGGTGGAGGTGGGGTGCTGTTTGGTGCCTGTTTAAGGCGCTGATGGACTGTGGGTGCTAGGGGGCATGCAGCTCGGGGGTGCCGTTTGATTGAGGCGCTGGTGATGGCGCAGGCGCATTTTTGCGAGATTGATGGCATGCAGTTTGGGGTGCGGATGCAGGTGCTGTTTTGGGGTAGTGTGGGGTGCTGTTGCGGTGCTGGTGACGTTGTGGGCGCAGTTTTCCCAAGATTGCCGGCGGGTGCTGGGGATGCAGTTTGGGGTGGTGGTGCAAGTGCTGTTTTCGATTGCTGTTTGATGTGCTGCTGACCGCGCGGGCGCTTATTTCCCCACATAACTGAAAACCATGCGGGTTCTAACTTCTAATGAAGAAGGGGAAATGTTTTGCAAGATCGACGGCTGGGAGCCAGGGGGCGTGCGCTTTGGGGTACTTGTGCAGGTGCGGTTTTGGGGCGCTTTTTCGGGCTGGTGACAGTACCTGGCGGCAGGGTGCTCGGGGACATGTGCGGTGCTCGCGCGGGTGCTGCGTCGGGGTGCTGTTTGGGCTGCTGTCTTGAGGTGTTGGTGACGGTGCGGGCTCATATGGACGGCAGGGTGCTAGAGCGGGCGCTGTTTGGGGCATCGCGGTTGTGGCAGCATCATGATGCTGTCCGCAGCATCATGATGCTATTGAATCGGTTCGGATGTCATGGTTTGTGGGTGTGGTGGCGCCATGATGTCAACATCAGGATGATGCTGAATTTCATTACGCTGTCGCAAGACGATTCGTGGCTGTGGTATCATCATGATGTTGCCTTCACCATCACCATGATGCTGCCCGCGTCATCATGATGCTGCCCGCATCATCATGATGCTGTCCGCATCATCATGATGCCGTCGAACTCATTAGGACGTCGTCTCTGCTTTTTTTGCTAGATATGTAGCGCGGAATCGTTCGTGGCTGGTGCATCAGCATGATGCTGTCAACATCACCAGTATGCTGCTGAACTCATAAGGACGTTGTCTGTGAGTCAAAAAAGCACCATGCAGAGCGGCTGTGGTATCACCATGATGCTGTCAACATCATCATGATGCTGTCAACATCAGCATGATGCCGCGGGAACCATTATGATGCTGCGTCATGGTTCGTAGCCGTGGTGTGCTATCTGGGTCTATGCTGGTTCGTATGTTGGGGATTTTTCCGTTTTTTTGGGATTTTTCCCTCATAAGGACGTTGTCTGTGCGTCAAAAAAAGCACCATGCAGAGCGGCTGTGGTATCACCATGATGCTGTCAACATCATCATGATGCTGTCAACATCAGCATGATGCCGCGGGAACCATTATGATGCTGCGTCATGGTTCGTAGCCGTGGTGTGCTATCTGGGGTCTATGCTGGTGTATTGTTGGGATTTTTCCGTTTTTTTGGGGATTTTTCCCCAGATAGCTGAAAGCTATAGGGGTTCTAACTTCTAATGAAGAGGGGGAAGTGATTTGCCAGATTGATGGGCTGGTGCTAAGGGGCGTGCAGTTTGGGGTGCTGGTTTTTGCGGATTGGGGTGCTGGTTTGAGGTGCTGATGGCAGTGCGGGCGCATCTTTTCAAGATTGACGGTAGGGTGCTAGGGGGCATGCAGTTTGGGGGTGCTGGTGCAGGTGCTGTTTTGGGGGTGACGGTGTTTTTGCATCTTGACGGTAGGGTGCACGAGAGCATGCAGTTTGGGGTGCTGGTGCTGGTGGTGTTTTGGGATGCTGCTTGGGGAGCTGTTTGAGGTGCTGGTGACGGTGCGGGCGCAATTTGCGATATTGACGTCCGGGTGCTACAGGCAAACGACAAAGTCATGCCTAAGTCACTCCTTCATCTGTGTGGCCATGTGTTCCCCCATGTAAACGCCAATTCCAAGAAGTCACTCCTAAGTCACGCCTCGGCAACAATCCCCATGGAACGCTTGACATCACCGAGCTGATCATGCTACAAAAAGACAGGTGTCAACAATGAAACACAATGGAACGCTACTGGTGGCAAAGCATGTTTTCCAGCCCCGCGAGGCGTCTGCAGGAACATGAAAACCAATGGAACGCCAAGCATACGATAGGTTGTTGCAGGAGAGTTTAGTAAGACATGACACAATGGGTGGGCTTTGCAGGCTCCTGCGCAGTGTTTTTCCACGACCTGGAGTTCTTTCTCTGGAAGGCAGGCAGGCACATACGCAATGCACCCTGGCAAAAAAACGAGATCAAAACGAGATCAAAACGAGATCACCGATCGTCCGTTGAAGATTTTGGGCCCGCATGTGCCGAACCCGCGCCCACAAGTTCACTCACTTCTGCGCCCGCTCCCATCAACCCACTTCCGCACACACTTTTCAACTCAATTTCGCACCTGCGAACGCCAGCCGCTCAAGCGCGCCTGCTCAGCCCTGCGCACACACGCCAGCCAAATGGTAAGCACTCCCAGCACTGCAAACTGCATGCCCCCTAGCACCCGGCCGTCAAGCTCGCAAAAAAGCACCTCCACCAGCACCCCAAACTGCATGCCCCCCAGCACCCGGCCTGAATCTCGCAAATCACTTTCCCTTCTTTATTAGAAGCTAGAACCCCTATAGCTTTCAGCTATCTGCGGAGAAAAAACCGCTAAAAAGTAGCGGGGGGTTTTGGGGGGGGCGGCAGCCCCCCCCATGATGTTGTTCGCAGAAGTGATGATTTGAATAGGGGTGCAATTAAATCTCTGCAAAAAGTCTAAAAAGTAGCGGGGGGGTTGGGGGGGCGGCAGCCCCCCCCATGATGTCGGAAGAAGTGATGATTCAAGTAGGGGTGCAATGATTCAAGAAAGGGTGCGATAGAATTTAAAAGGCAGCGGGAGGGTTGGCGGGGTGGCTTCCCCTATGATGTTCGAAGAAGTACATACATACAGACATACATGGATTACACAGAATACCTAAAATGTCGTATTTTGCAGCATTTTCTCGCGAAATTGGACGCTCGAAAAGTGATGATTGAACTAGGGGTGCAATTCAATCTCTGCAAGATAAATCCAAAAAGTAGCGGGGGGGAGGCGGCAGCCCCCCCCATGATGTTTGAAGAAGTGTTGATTCAAATAGGGGTGCAATTACTCTGCAAGCAATCTAAACAGTAGCGGGTGGGTTGCGGGGGGGGCTTCCCCCCCTTATGATGTTTGAAGAAGTGATGATTCAAATAGGGAGGAACTGGTGATGCTGATGATGCGGGAAGCCACATCCGCAACAGCCAAAAAGCCCGGACAGGAACTGGGAAAGCAGAGGATGCAAAAAGCTAAGACCGCCAAAAGCCGCATAAAGCAGCGAAAAGCCGCAAAAGCCAAAATGCCACCTGCCAAAGAGGAACTGGGAATGCAGTGGATGCGAAAGGCAGAAGCTGAGAAGCCAAAAAGCCAAGAAGCCAAGAAGCCAAGAAGCCGAA